TTTTGAAGTCTGACAGTTTGATGCCAGAGAGAGAGAGGTTTTTGAATTGAAAAGGTCAATTGTAGTTTCAAAACACTCAAACAGATGTCAGTTTCTAACAGTTCTTGCAGCAAGTATGGCTAGGAAAATTTTTGGTCGTGATGGACAACGACACTGCACACACAATATTGAATTTTAAGCTCAATGTGAAGGCCTTTTCATTTTCAATCATCAAAGAATCAAGTCGAATTTTTTTAAGGTCTGTTATCATTGTAGTTCATAAGATAGTGACGTTAGAGTCTTGCAGCAAGAATCTTGCAACAAGACTCTTGCAAGAAATCTTGTTTGCAAGACAAGATTTTTTTCTGCCAGAGTCGGGCAAGACAAGAGTGAATTTCATTTCTTGTCTTGCTTTGCAAGACAAGACAAGAAAAGGCCCAGCAAGACAAGAAATCTTGTCTTGTGAAACACTAGTTATAGTGAAAGTGTACGGTTGCCAGATTGTACAAAAATTAATATATGTCATTCCCGCTCATCAAATTTTGGTAAATAAGTAGGTACCTAACCTAATGGGGTAGTATACTATGTAAAAAAATCAGTAAAAAAACTACTCGACATTATTCTATAGGCTAAATGGTGATGGTATAGTGGGATACTGAATTATTTTCCAGCATAGTGTCTATAGATTAGTCAGAGAAAAAAAACTGTAATTTGAATTTAGCGCCACAGCGGCGACCAATAGTATTCAAGCCGCTGACCATCTGGCAACGCTGCTCAAAATGACAGCTGACTTCAACAGTTCAACGACATGTGGTGTCGTGTGAATCGTGTGACATGTGACATTGTCACAATAACTTTGTTCGTTGTTTAATGTAGCAAATTTGAGGTTTCGTTCTTGACGGTCAATGTCAGTGCAAATTGTGCGTTCTCAAAACCGTGATGGTTTGCCAGATTGGAAAAACTAACTACGTCACGAACTTTTATTTTCACGCAGGGGCGGGGCTAAGAGGAAATTTAAAAAAAATAATTCCAGCCTATTGCGATTTTTACAAAGCAACTGATTACACTATATAGTACGATACGTCCAGTATATCACTATGCAGTAGTTAAAAATCACTTGTATACTACCCTATTAATATAATTTCAAAAAATAGGTAAGGACTATCATTTTAATGATCACAATAAAATAGAAAATAGGCCTAATGTCATCCTGAGGTTTTTTTCAGGTCCCTTTCTTTTACTGATTTGTTCATTCAATAAGATATGGCAGAGCTGGATCGCGAACGGGATTTAGTATTTGAGTGGCAAAAGTATCATCAAAATTATCATCTCTATCTCTTCTTTGAAGTGGACATCTGGCCAACAAAGTCTTCTGATGAGATTATCAACGGCATTTGTCATGTTCTCTATTAAATCGTCCACCTAAAAAAAAAAAATCAGAAAATTGATGGGGATGACATGACGTGGTTTAAACAGGACAGTGCCACATGCGACTCAGCACGATAAACGCTGCAATTGTTACACATAAAGGATCCCATACACTGGCGTATGGCGGTATGTGGGATCCTTTAACTTCCCGACCGCGGTGTCTCTCGGCGATCATAATTGGCCACCAAGTTATCAAAATATCACGACATTAGATTTTATCCTTCATGGCTACTTATGTGAAAAAAAAATGGGTAGGTATGGCAATAACCCCAGAACAATTCCAGAGGACAATATAAGCCGAGTAATTCGTGAGCTTAAAAGCTATGCCAAAGAAAAATGGATATTTAATTCGCCCTTCGTGGCGTTCATATTCAAATAAAAATATCAGCTGCTGCTCAACAGGTTTTATGAAACATTTCAAATGCATCCTCAAACTGAATCACCCATATACTTATGTAATAATATAATATGTTATTCAAAATTAATCATTAATCGACTTCAAGAAGCTATAAACTTCCTATACTCTTATCAGTTTCGAATGCAGTTGTACTCTTAGTTCTTTTCCATATACAGAGTGGCGTCCCAGGAAAAACAGTCCACTCCGATTTTTTCGATTTCAAATGATAACCCCTATCCCCTATTCAATTTTGGGTGGTTGTTTCCCCCCCAGCTAGGGGGTTGAAGCTACGGTAATCAAAAAAAACTGCAAAATAGTTCCGCCTCAAATCAAAAATCCACGTGTCCGAGCGTTTTTCCAAATTTTCATTCCAAATCCAATAAATCGGGGTGGACTGTTTTCTCTGGGACACCCTGTATGTAGAGGCACTGATTTTTGCAAAAATATACAGGGTAGCCTATTTAAACAAATTAGGAAATTAGTCCTGGAAGGAGGTTTGACGTACTAAACATTTTTGACCCTCTGGTTCACTGCGTACTTGTAGAACCCTGAAAAAATATTTGATTCATAACAAAAGCTATCTATAAGAAAGCACTTGAATAAAGTCCATTAAAAACCCCAAAAATTCGTGAGATCTGAGGAAATAATTGATAATTTTTAACGCCGCAACTGATTGCCAAATAAAATTAGGGTTGAATAGACAATAATAAATAGAAGCTTTGTTGTTGAAAAATATCGGGTTTTCTATTTCAAAAACAAAAACAACAGTAGAATTTAAAATATTCAAAAAAATCAAATCTTTCATCCAAACTACTTTTTTATTACATTTTTCCTTCTATTTTTAACTGTTATACCTGGAACGACATTGGAGAATACACATTAGACGAAGCTTCTGCTTCTGTATAGGTACTTACCTATAATAAAAAGATATCTTACAAAACACTAAAAACAGCTACCGAAAATAATTTAACTAGGTTTTAAAAGACATGGGAAATGGGAGAGGTTGGAAAATGTTTCCGAAAAAGTTGGGATTCAAAGTATACAGGGTTTGTTTTTTCTTAAAACCGAATATTGGAATGCAGACTAAGGAAAATAGTTGCATGTTACCCACATAAGTCATGGATTTTCTTGAGAGTAGTTTCTTCGGATAAGTGGATTTCTAAGCAAAAATCAATCGACTACAATATAATCGACATTAGCCGAAAATTCAATCGCTTAATTATTTATTATTCAAATGCAACTCGTATTCCGCAACATCAACAATCGCAGCGCCAAGGATGCCGGTTCCCCCCAAAAAATAGGTGATGCGGAACAGCGACCAGCGCCTATTCGTAATTTGTTATTATTCGTTAGTTGGCAATAATGGCAATCTCCATTTACACATTTTTTCATGCTTATCTAACGTTAAAATATGGCCTGATTAATTATATTATTAACGCTTCATGAAAGTATAAAAACCCATTTCAAATTGAAGTGTGAAATTAAATATTGTTTAAAAAAGAATGTTTTGTTGAATGGTAACTATATCCAAAATACTTAGTACCGACTACGTAAATAAAAGAATAAGGAAATTAGTAACCTATCACATAGATGCGACGTTAAGCAACTTTATTATGCACCTTTTTATTATTTAATTTAATGGGAAATGAATCTATGTTTCTTTCAAAGAACTCATCGAAGTAATAGGACATAAATATTTTGCTCAACTTTTATGTCTTAAAAGGCTCAACACCGCTTTCCAATTTAGCTTCAGTTTATGAGTACCTTTCCACTACAAGTTTTGTTTAAAAAATTCGAGGAATAAGAAATTCCTCCACCTTAATCAAAAAGAGCAAATGATCGATTTCCCAATAACAGAACAACATTTTTATGTAGGTATAGGACAAACAAAATTGCTTGCGCGCCTTCACTGACACATTTTCATTATAATCAGCCAGATTTCCTGGACATCATCCTGTCCACAGGAGCCGACCTACACCCAGGGCATGCCACTTGCAGCTGGACCCAATACCCAGCCATAACCGTCTTCGCTGATGATATAGCGCACTATAGACTGATCATTCTTTGACTCCATTACTACACCAACGCTCTGGAGGAATGGATGCAGAAGTAGAAACGGAGAAGAAACTCGAACAAGACTTATGCCATTGTGTTCCGTCGAACATATTACGCACCTCAGGGACACGTATCAGTAACCAACCAAGGGTTCCTCGGAGAAGCAGGATAAATACTTTGGACTCCAGTACGGTCAAAGCCACATCTAGAGACACCACCAGAGCCAAAATAGAAAAAAGACTTCGGACGCTTTTTCCGTTGAAAAAAAAAAAGAGCAGGTTAACCAGTAACAGACTGCTGCTGTACAACACCATGCGCAGGACCATACTCACCTACGGACCTCGAGACCGTAGCAGCCAATCACATGAAAAGAATCACGGCTTTCCAAGACCCTCCGCATCATTGCAGACGCGCCTTGGTGCATGAGAAACGAGACGCTATACAAAGATCTCGAAATACAGAGGCTATCAGAATACATCAGAAAGTTGAAAACAGCACACTAGGTCAATGCCAGGACCCACAGAGCCTAAACCATACCCACAGTGAGAGGGGCGCCAAACGACCACTACCCACCATAAAAGACCCGCTGCTGAGAGAGCTTCCTTATCTCAGTTGAGTGAGGACTGAGGCCTTCACGCAGCTGGAAACTACTCCCGATCTCTAAGCCTGAGAGATCCCACAGGACGCCTACTTCCAAACAGAACACTTGCCCGTCTGGGAAAAAAAGCAGAAAGACAGCCTTACGTGGGACGACAAATGACCAGCCAGAGAAATCACACACAAAAGCCTTCACGTAATTTTTTGGACATATTTCCAATTTCTTTGGAATTCAGTCTTCAAACACAGATAAAAAAATTGATTTCTTCATTTATCATGATTTCACCCATAATAAATCGATACTTTTTGAAGTCAGACAGACCTGAACTCGTCTATATTTTGGCCCATTTGTTTAATAAGGGACGATCTCAAGTCGATTATTGAATAAATGGCACTATTTATGTTTTTTGACATACCACAAAAAATATTGAATATTGTATTTTTTGAAGATTTGCTACCGATTTTTATATATGGTATGTTGTAACTGAATACAATATTCATTATTTTATGTTGGTATGTCAAAAAACATAGAAAGTTATAACATACCATATATAAAAATCGGTAGGAAAAAATGTCAGTTATTACCTACCTGAAGAAAATACTGCATGTGGAAAATTGTCGTGATAACAAAAAAAAATTGTTAAAATTTATCTTTTCATAAAGAATAATGAACATTGCTATATAATTCGAGAAGTATTTGTTGATTTTAACCAGATTGATGTAGTTAGGTAATTTAATGAAAGGACAAATAAAATTGCGAAATGATGTTTAAATTTGAATTACCTACGCCGATTTTCTTTATAGTGGGATTATTTTGAAAGAAAAACCATCATAGGAAATCACAATAATGTTGTTGATACTTGTTAGCGCAGCGGTTTTACATAACTTTGGTAAGCAATAATAAAAATATAACCACCCAATTTCTATTCACAATTATCCAAGCTTTCGCAGAAGATCTGAAGGACCTTTCTCCGTTAGAACTAATAAAATTAGGTCAAGATATTTCTCAAATACATCCCGATGAAGTAAAACCGACAGATGTTCAATTTTATATTCTCACCAAAGACAATCTTGAACCAACCCTCATATCAGCAGAAAGTAAAGAGCTTGTGAATGTTACAAAACAGACTATAATTATTATACATGGTTGGTTGGAAAATCATAGAAGGTAAATTTTCATAATAATCTAAAATAATACGTTTTCAAAATAATTTTTTTGATAGATCTTGGTATAAAAATGTAGCCGATCAATTTTTTGTGAATGGTGATATCAATTTTATTGAAGTTGATTGGGAACGACCGGCTCGAATGCCATATGTTTATTCTGCTAAAGCTACCAGGATGGTCGGTAAGAGTTTTTTAGTTTCCCAATCTTCCATATTTTCTTTGCTCTAGTTAGGTAGTTGATTTTGAAGGCACTTGGCATCATACCTCTACATACTATACCTGTGGTGTGATCAAACCTGTTACATCTCAGAACTCGATTGTTACGATTTTCCTCGGACTCCATAGGCGCAAGATTCTCGAAACGAGAATGCAGATATCTTATGAGAACAAAGTGCCCTGTCCTCAGTTCTATGCAAAATCTCATATGAGTGAAAAACGCAGAAAATTTTTTCTCGTAAGAACGCTGCTCCCTTGTTTCGAGAATCAGGCGCCTGGTCATTTCCTGCATAAATGTCACTTCTAAACTTCTACGTGGCTCACTTTGCATATTCTCGCATTTTATCAACATCCTGTAAATTTCAGAGTCCTGTCTTCCAAACACCATGGCTTTTATATCGGCAATGAATATTTCGACTTGGTTAAAATTCCACTTTTTTTTTTTCGCTGATTATTCACTCAAAACTTTTATTTAGGCAAGTCTGGTCCCATTTTCCTATGCTTCATATCCTATTATCAAGCAGAGCTAGGGGAAGAAACTTGGGAATGAATTTGCGATAAATTTCAATAAAACTGTTAGGACGACGACAATTCAACGTATGATCATGGGCAAGGCATAACAATATATGTAAAAATCCACATAAGCCGGCGTATTTAGATTTTTATGCATAGGTATAATCATCAAGAATATATGAGGAAAACTTGCTTCCGGCGCCGGCGAGCCGAACGCAATCTTATGAACTTCCTTCTGTATTTCATGTGCTCACTACTGCTCACAATAAACCTCTTACTTAATAACAAAATTTCACTTTGTGGTAAATCATGTTATAATTTATTAGGAAACGAGGTCGCACAATTTATTGAAGATTTTGATCTTTTTTCGAACGAGGTTTACATCATAGGACATTCGTTAGGAGCTCATATCGCTGGATTTGCTGGAAAAAAATATTTTGAAGATACTGGTGAAAAGTTGAAAAGAATTACTGGCTTAGATCCTGCGGGCCCTTACTTTAGGTAGAAAAATATTTGAGTGAGTTTGTTGATAAGGTATTAACATCATACATTTAAGGCATGCCAGTATTAATCCCAGCGAACGACTTGATAAGGATGATGCCGAAATTGTAGATGCCATTCACACTGATGCAGGTAATTAAATGTCTCATAATAATATACAAGAATGTAAAAAAACACTATTTTCAATTCTCTAGGATTTTATGGCTACGAAAACCCAATAGGTTCCTTCGACATATATGTTAATGGTGGACAAAGAATACAACCTGGCTGTCTTGATGAATGGACTATTCCAACTTCCTTTGGAGATATGCTAGAAAAATGTAAGACATTGAATTAAATTATTAATTAAAATACGAACTTATCTATTTTTTCACGATTTAGGCAATTCTATAATTTATATGTTTTAGCTTTCTGTAGTCACGCAAGGTCAACAAAATACTTCACCGAATGGATAAGTACAGGAAAGTTCAAATGCAAATTCTGCACACCTCTTCTGGAAATTAATTTGTTTAATGACAGGTGTGCCTTGCACCATAATAGTGATCGTCAGGTGTTAGGGTTTGAGGATGTTACAGTTGACATAACAGGAGTATGTTTTGCGGAAACTAATAAGGAAGAACCATATTTGAGTTAAACATGATTTGAATGTAGTATTTAATAGGGTCTTTAGAAATAAATTGCACTGTTAAACTATTCTTGGTTTTCTCTGAGATTTGTAATAGAGCCACTACTACAAAAAAAGTGTAGGTAGGTATATGCGGGAAATTTTGCGAATATCTTGCCTTATAAAGCAAAATATGTGCCTGAAATTTACACATCTAGTATGGCATTCACAAACATGTTCATGGAGCGATTTCTATGCCCAGCAGATTAGTTGGACTATCCAACGATCTACCTGATGTGCTGATTCGGATGGTGAAATGCGTTCACAGTTTCATCATCACTAGAGGAAGACAACCTCGACCACAAATTACATGGTCCTACTGGTACAGTGTTCAGGCATCGGGCTAACTACCCGTTATTCGGAAAAAGTGCAGGCTAATGAAAGACCCAATCAACAGCCTTGGAACAAGACCGACGATCAGAGATGAACTACGCAACGAAAACGGATAATTGACATGAGTAGACCTTCGCCTGCTCTTCTGTTTTCACTTAGAGCTGCAATATTGATGTTAAATCTCCTAAATTCCCGAGTTACCATTGCGGTTCGTCGTTGTGGTTTTGTATTTGTGCTGGTATCCATAAGTACCTATACGAATATTCCACGTGGCAAGATTGAGTTTGTTTTATCTTGTTTCGACCGCATGGGGTGCACCCTCTGAACGTGGTTATCCAGCCGGGCAGCTGGCAGCACACTAGTTGGTCTACAGCCAATCTTTGAGCAAAACGACGATCATGCTATCCCCCGCCTCAGTGGCTCCCCTTGCAACTTGAAGGAATTTGGTGTTTTTTGGACTTGATGGTCTTATGTGTCCTAGAATAGAAGAAGCCTGTGCGTGACTTTTATTAACGTGGATACGCTGATGGACAGTCAGCAGACCCACGGTCCCTAAACTCGTGTTCCGACCCAATGGCATTGAAACTAAGACGATTGGGTCCCTCGAGCTCAGGGCTAGCTGATTGCACGATCAAGAAGAATTGAACTCGGATCGTCGGGTCGCTACATCCCTACGCCAACCTATGAATAATCATGTATGCAGTAGCACACATAATTGAAACTTTATTATTTTTTCGATGTGCAATAAAAACAGAAATTGAAAAACTAATCTCAAAATAAGCAGAACAAAAAATATTACATAAACAATATGTTAAAAAAATGGGTTCACAGAATCTACTTTTATTTTTTCAAAATTTCTTCCCTATGCGGACATGAAAAAAAATTACCTCCATTTTCCTTTGCCCCTCTCTTTCTCTTTCCTTAACCTTTATACCTACTTACTTGAAAAAGTGAATATTAAAATTCACAATCAAAACCTAAAAATTAGCATAAAAATTATAATCTTTGAGTAGGCGATTGAAAGAAAAACAAAATAAAGACACAAAACGAACACATATACATAACCACTGTGCCAATTATATTTTCGATTCAGAAACTTGTATTTTAAAAAACATTTATTTTATTGATTAGAATACAGAGGTGACAAAAGAAAATATTCGGATCAAATTGCTATAGGCTAAAGCCAGAAAACAAATGAACGTTCCTTATGGGACGGCATCGGCTTAAATAAACATTTAATGCCGACATAGCAATTTGATGTTTACTTTACAACAATGTATTTAAAAAGTCCTAGAGGAAAGGGGTAAGCACATTAAAGCATATAAAAAATAGATAATTGATTATAAATCAGCATGGCAATTGGTTAATATAACTCCTCCCTCCTTGAGATGTTGCAAACGTGGATTGTTGTGAATTCAAATCAGACAATTCAATTTGCACATTTGCACAACCTTTTTCTGAAGTTTTAAATTTCCTAAAACAGTAAAACAGTAAAATTAAAAATAAAATAGCAAGACTTAAACCTATGATTACATATGTGTTAAAAAAGAGTGTTCAAAATACAATTCTTTTAGATTATGAACTCTTATTTGTTTCGTCGTCTTGAAGGCTTCTTCTAAGTCTTCTTGGTTGATTTCTTGAAGTTCCAATGTTGTTGCGTTCTCTGGAAGTTCAGGGATGTCTATTCTTGGAATCTTCAGTTCAAAATTGAAGTTCTCGCTGGTTTTTGAAAATGTTTGATTTTGGATTTTCACAAAACATTTCTCAAAAGAAACTAGCGTTGGATTAGTTATTATTTCCATATGGTTTGTCTTGTCACATTGAATAACTATGGTCAGGCTTTTCTTAGGAATGACTAATAGTTGTCCATTCGGGAGTTGTCTCACTGCTGGTTTTTCATATTTCACTTTAGTGAAAGGACATTGTTGTGGTAGGTCAGTAATCAGGTCGTAGACACATGATTCTTCTTGCTTCAGCTCTTCTTGGTTACAAAGGTACACACTTTCGACTTTCGGGCATTCCCATAACGTATTGTAGTAAATGTCCGTAGTAAGTAATAGGTAAGGGTACTTATTCCTAATGGTAAGTTCTAGGATAGGAATTGGATAGATTTTATACAATATAAAGGGCTTGGGATCAATCATTGGTGTGTGTATAACAAATATAATTAACTCATTTTGGATTTTTACTTGAGTGTTCATTGTCTCATAATACTTGATTTTATTATCAAAAGGTATTTGCTGACTTTTGGGTATATTTGTTAATATTTGATTTAATTCATTATGCTGTAAAATAGTATAATGCATTATTCCCAATTGTGCAAAATTTATTCCTAATTGCACATGATCAATAAGATTCCTTATTTTATTACTTTGAATATTGATGTTGTTCAATATTAGATTAAAGGTTAACATTGAGTGGAAATTTTGGTTTTCCAAGGAAATATTTTGTAATTTTCCTGTGATAACCTTTTGGTTAGATTCAATAGTTAAAAATTGATCGTGAAATGTTTTTGTAACTTGTTTCAATACTTGAGCTTGTGTTTTTAGATCTTGATTGAGAGTTTTTTGATTATCATTAAGCGTGTGGATATAAGAATCATATCTTGCGCCGTCTTCAGCATCTAGGGTTCCGTAGAGCCATTTTTGTGCTGTGCCCATGAAATTTAATAGACCTCTTTTATTACGTTTTCGGTCTTGATAGGATCTGATTGCTTGATTCATAATCTTAATTTGAGAATGACTGTTTTCAATATTTGTTTGAAACAGTGCAACAAATTGGTTTGACCATGTTGTTTTGTTAAGAGTGTCAGATAATTTCATTAAGGTGATTTCCAGTTTATGGATACTTTGAATGATAATTGTTGTGTTTATGTGATAATAGGCCGTATTATGTTGAGTTGTTACGTAAGTAGTTCCTAAAGAGATTGGTAAAACAGGATTTTCTACCGTCATCAATGTATACGCTTGGGTGACTCCAACGAGAGTTAGGAATACTAATGGATTCATCTCGGAGTACCTGAAATAAATTATTGTCGTTTAACATTTTGTTTAGCAAAGCGATTCTGTGTTTTGCTATCATAACGCGGACTTATCTTGTCTCTATTAAATCGTTTTACAAAGATTGGATCTTGTAATTCTGGTTCAGGTTCACCATTTTTATTACGTGATTCTAAAGACTTTGTTTGTTTCGCTAATAATTTTTCTTGAATTTCTTTATTCAAATTCGCAAGAGATTCTGCCAAACTTGTTATATAGTCAGTTGTTAGTTTATTTTCCGTTTGTTCAATCGGTATGGCATAATTCAAATCTCCTTTAATCACTTGAAAAGGGGTGTGATTCATTGTACTATGAGTACTGTTGTTATAATTCAATATAGCGATTGTCATTAGATCGATAATACTCTTATTCGGGTTTTGAAGTTTTAAACTCGTTATACTTTCACGTAGTGTCGAATGGAAACGTTCGATTGGACTATTCGAGTTCGGGTTTCTTGGAGTTGTGTAATGAAACTCAATTTTGTATAATGTACAAAGATCTGTCATTATAGCATTTTTGAACTCTGCTCCATTATCTGATGTGATTTATTGAGGTATTCCATGATCACTAGAATATTTCAATAACTGTGATGATATCTCAACAGCTGTTTTCGTATTTACAGGAGAGGCTTGACCAAATTTTGAAAAGCTATCAATAATGGTCAGAAATTTCTGGTTACTGATTATATACGTGTCAATATAAATGTTCAATGGGTTTCATACCAATGGGTGTTGGTTTGAATATGATTTTGTATGGTTGACGTTCATACTTGGTTTTATTGCATATCTCGCATACTTTGACATAATTCTGTATGCCTTTCTCGATATTGGGCCAATAGAATCTTTTCTTTAAGGCTGCAATATTTTCAGTGATTCCTCTATGAGAGGTTTTAGTCTCATGATATTGTTGAATTTTCTCTTGTTGAAGATCAACTTCTGTGATGTTTTCTAAGAAAGAGTTCGAGACGTACAAAGTAAATGAATTCGAATTAAACGATTCTTGTAATGCTCGTATCACAATAGGTTCTAAAGATTTATTTAGGAAATGAAGGCAATAAATACCAGGTGGCATGTATTCCTTTACTAAATTAGTAATTTGTGATGTTGTTGGATTATTTGGTAAGAAGAATATTATTCTCTTTTTATTACCAAATAGTTTGATTATCTCTTTTCTAATTGTGTTATTATTGGAATATCGAAATACAATTTGATTTCCAAATACATTTACATGTTTCTTAGTATATGGAGCTCCTAATATTGGATTTTCCATAGACGTATGTATTGTTTGGTCATTTTCAGACAAGGCTGAAATTGTTGAAGAACGATTAGTTGGTGTTATTTGTCTATTACTTTTTTGAGTTTTCGGAGATTCTCCGATTTCTATGGGAATTTCTTTTTTCTCTTTTCTTGGAGGTATTATTAGTTGTGATAATATCTTTATTTTGGGTTTTACTTTCTTAGGTTCTTCTTCAGGTTCTTTTTCTGATGCTGTCTTTGTTGATTGAGATGATTCAGACATTGTTATTTCTTTTTCTTTAGCTATCTCGCTTTGTTTGGGAAGATATACTTTAGAATCTGTAAAGTATTTTGCTATGATTTCATCATTACATAATGGTGTATCTTTCAGCATTAATCCTAATTTTTTATGAAATTCTTC